TTTCTGCATGACTTCATATGCTCCAGTAGGTTCTCTACTGTGTAATCAGTGGTACCTTCTTTGCTTCTTTCATAAGCCACCACTCATATCCTCTGTGGTAGTTCTCCTCCCAGCTGTTGTGCATGTGGGACGCCTCGGATCCATCTGGATTCACAAAATTATCATCATTGTCACCATCTATGTCCCACATATTAAATAGTTCTTGTAGTGGAAAGTAAGCAGGAGAGTATCAGTTCACAAGACCGTATTAAGGCATTACATTATCAATTACAAACTTAAGCATCATCAGCATTTTAAAAGAATTTATGTAATTTCTATTTCGATCAGATAAAGAATTCGTTGTCCCCTTTAATCTACCCTGGCGGATATAAATGTGTGTTATACCAGTGCTCTGTGCATCTCCGCCAATCTCGACCTTCAGTATCTGCAGACTGGCTCCGAAGTTGGGCTGCAACAAGTGAGTTATTTCCTTTTGACAACATTTGACTGATAGCGCTAGTAATACAACGATACGGGCCTCATAATCAGGCAATAAATTACTATACTATAGGAATACTGAAATTAGAACTGGCAAAGGAGAGAGTTAAGTTGTTTTCTTGAAGAATCGACCAAAATATGAAGATTTTAATTTAACCAGGTTGTTGTGAATCTAAAAGCTGTTTTACTTTCGATGCCACTGTTATTTCACTACACCCACAGAGATTAACATAGTTTTCAGTTGTTTCCAGAACAACTGCCAGTGTAAAAGATTTCCTTTCAGGACCACTGAGAATAAACTCGGCCTTGTAACATCAGACATCATCAACAAAACATGATACACGCATCTTCTATCGTTTTATTGGTACTAAGCTGTACCACGGTTTAGTATGAGTGTGAATAAGGATGGGTCAAGAACTGATCCTTGAGGAACACCACGTGTGATTTGGACAATCCACAACAATACAGAGTGGTCGGGAGAGTTCGCTCAAACTCATTTCGTTCAGTAAGTGTTTTATGGTACAGTTAATTCGCAGTGAGAAATTTCCAGCATCCACTGCACAAGAAATGTCTGCGAGTATCGAAACCATCGTCCAGAATGAGGCGTGTTTGAAACCAGTAGGTGCGTTCCTTAGTAAATGCAAGACGTGAGATAGACATCCTTGGTTTGTTTATCCGTGAAATAAATTCTTTAAACAATTATTGACAGACTTATTGATATATATTCAGTTATTTGTTCGTCAAAGATCATTTTTCACAATATGTGTTATAATGTGCACCATATTTAGTTGATTATTCTAGTAGCTTCCGCAACAATCTTCGGAATATATTGAGATCAAAGCTGTAATCTTTGACCTGACGATCTGGCAAACGTGAGAGACAGTATGTCGGTATGTCGGTAACACTTATCTATTGTTATCTTTTCGTATGTGTCCTTTCAAGGGGGAATATCTTGCAAGTCACTGTATAGTATCATTAGACAAGGTCAGTGACTCAAGTGTCATGCTTTCATATGACGGAAACATTTTTTGACTTTCGAGGGAAATACCTAAGTCTTCAGTTTATAGTGTGATGTGAAAACATATCTCAGTCTGTGAAGAAGACAACTTCAACTTAAAGGTGAAGAGAGAAAAAACATACATAACGCCAAAAAGACAACAGGGAGCCAAGTTGATGGTGGAGCCATGTGTTCGTCCAGTTAACTTATGCGCAGATACATTTATCACTGGGTATATGATAAACATTGTCACAAGATGAGGTTCGCTTGAAATAATTTTCGGTCAGTAGAGGGCACGAGAGTCGATTTAATGCAACGTTGTATTTGTTTTGGTGTGTGTGGTTGTTGTTATATGGTAGCTTCCCTAGGGGCTGATAGTTAGTTTTATTGAGAGAAATGCATTATTGATTTTTAGAGAATTGTGGTGTGATATAGTGCCTTTAAGAGCAATTATTGCATGTAATTTCAATGGTAAATAGGTGAAAATTTACACGTCTATAGACAAAGAGTTCACCAACACAACAGCAGCCTATATTTTTGTGATTCTGTTTATTTGAGCAATTTGTATGGCCACCACTGGCAGCAATTAGTGTTTGGCACCGTCTCGGCACAGACTGGATAAGTCGACGAAGCCGCTCTTCCCAACTCTTCCTGCAATGCGATGGCCAGTGTGTTTTGACGTTATCGTACACGTTGATCGAGTTCATCCCATGGGTGTTCTATCGGGTTTGGATCTGGTGATTGGGAAGGCCATGGCAAGACTTTGACGTTAGAATTGGCAAGTTAGCAGACAGTGACGCGTTCTGTATGTGAAGTAGCGTTGTCATGCTGGAACAACTCTCTCTGCCGGTCCATAATCGGAAGCATGTGACGTGCAAGGACTTCGTTGATGTACTGATTTGATGTCAAAGTCCCCTGAACACCAATAAATCAGATCTTAGTGTGCTGGATATCTCACCCCACATCATGAGACTGTCTCCATCGTATTTGTCGACCTGTCGAATGCAATTAGGGGCAAAACGTTCATTCTCCGACGGTAAACACGATGTCTTCCATCTCGCCAGTTTCTAAGGTTCCAGTTCCGGACTCAAAACAGGGGCGACAACTGGCCTTCTTGGTCTAATCCCCACTTCACGCAATCGATTCCTGACAGTTTGGTCAAAAGTTCTTCTGTAACCAGGGATGCATTGTGCAGTCTCCACGGCTGTGGCACGACGATGACGCAAGTGAGCAGCCCGGATGTAGCAGCCCTGGGCTTGGGTGGTAACTCTTGGACGGCCGCTTCTCAAGCAGAAAACGATCCCAAAGGCGAGATATGGTGCTCTGATGAACATTGACATGTCGGGCAACTGCAGACTGCGACTGCCAGACTTCAAGGCGGCCTATGGCGATGTATCCATTGGGGCACTCAGTCGTGACATGATGAATGACAAAATTTCACACAACGTTTGCCTTTTTATAGCGATCGATACCGCACGCTTTTCCGCTAAACTTGTTCTTGCATTTTGCTTTGCAAGTTTTCTTGGTGACGTTTTTGGGAATAGTATGTTTGTATTGGTTTTGCAGCAGCTTTTGATTCTCAAATCACCTATGCGTTTCTCTTATTTTGAAGAGTGTACCTATACTTGATTATATGACCATATGGAAACACTTATTCTTAGGATTTTATTCATCGACAAATGACAAATATTGGGCTTCGAGTTCAACACTCAAGTTTGGGTATTGAAACAATATCTTGACGTGTGACTCACCTTAAAGAGGAAGTCGAGAATCTGGTTCCGCTGTTCATCCGGGTAGTTAGCCAGCAGCTTTGACGTAGCCTGAAGGTTGAAGGTACGAGAGGTGAGTCGGAGGAATATACTGACTCGTGTCGTGGAGGACATTTAAACAACTGACGCATCAGTGACAAAAACAGTGACTAGCCATTGCACTTATGATGGGTGCCATAGGTGGAGCAGGATATGCTCACCTAGTGCCATCACTATTTGAAAGTGATTCATTAACACAGGACGGAATTGTACAATCCACCCTGCTTTTTTTAAGTAGATGCTTCTTAAGGACGACTGCGATGAGGCACAGGAGTACGCACAGATAGATGTTTTGTTCACTGAAGTTTCCTATCTGGTACTTACTCTCATTGCCAGTGAAGACCCGGGTTAGACTTGATCTTCAGCAAACCCATGCTTGTCGTAAGAGGCGACTAACGGGATCGGGTGGTCAGGCTCGCTGACTTGGTTGACACATGTCATCGAATCCCTACTGGCTAGATCGATGCTCATGCTGTTGATCAATGGATTGTCTGGTCCAGACTCGATTATTTACAGACTGCCACCACATAGCTGGATTATTGCTGAGTGCGGCGTTAAACAACAAACAAGCAAAGACAGAAACTTACCCCTCCACCGCTCAGCCCGCCGATTCCATCAAACCTCCGACCGAGACCTAATGAATCAGAAATTTCGTACACTTTCGCTTCACTACAATACACAGCAACCACACAGAGTACCAAAGCTGCTGACAACCACCTCATGTTGGAGAGCTTGATGTGTCCGACTGCCTCACTCACAAATATCACTCAGGTATGTGCAAGTCATATGACACTGACATCATAGTGACCTGATTGGATATCTCTGGAAGGCATCCATTGTTATCAGTGTTACAAGGTCTGTGTATATCTGTTATCGATATCCAGCAATCTTAACCTTGCTTCTATCTTATCTCGGGGTAGCGTCCTTGTGTGGAGCAACACAAATCTCAGGCCAACTTATTTGATTTTGTTTGTTGTTGATGAGATGTTGGTCCTTTCGCAAAAATATCAAGGGAAATTTAAATGTCACAAGACAGTGGCAGGTACATCAAATCAGGCAAAGACTTGAAACCTGGTTACTTCAGGAGGTTCATATCCAAGTTGAAATTACACAGAAACATGGAATAATTGGTGATCCAGATACACATAATGGTCCTTTGAATATCATCTGCATAATAATTTAGTATCTGATATTCAAAAGCAAGCTCAATATAAGAATACCTCCTTTCCAAGCATTTCAGAATGAAATAAAGGACTATTATAACTTTATTTCAGCGATAATTGAGTGTAATATTAGCCTATTCTACAAATTTTGGTCAACCTGTCATTATCTATTTATGTGAATCTCCTTTGTTTTATGTCAGCACTGGAATGTCGTATGTTGAAGACAATCTCTTAGTCAACATCAAATTGGTCATGCTTTCGGGGCAGGCTACGGTATGTTCTACTGGCCATCTGGCAGGTTTAGGGTGCAAATAGAACCAGTTGAATGTCCAGGCAAACTATTTGAACAGATCGCCATTCCTATTGTAATTAACTTACCACTCGTTTGTTACATCCAAATGCCAGAATACCCGAGTGACACGTGACATAAACAGGTCATGCCAGTCACAGCCTTCAGGTCCGTTGAAGGTCAACATTATAGTACTATATATGGTGATAACTCGTGGCTTCCTTTGGTTCGTAGTATAATGTGTTCACAAAGACAAACTGTTTCCGTTTCGACGGAACAACGCAACGTGTTTATTCATAATATATGATTTGCAATTACATCAGAGAAAAATAGCGTTAAGACTTAAGGTAGCGGTGCGAACTTTATAAGGAGGTTGTCGAAGTCTGCCAGTCCCCAAGTGTCTGTACCTAGGGCTACGAACCCACTGGTTGCTAGAGACGGTGCACGTGCCTCCATCACCATCTCCTCGTTCACAAAACCGATCATTCCCTCACCCTGAAAAACAATAAATGGTAAAACGTGCTTTAGTACAAAACCTTTAGTGGAAGGAAGACTGACCAACATGTTTAAAGGAACGTCCAGCCCCACAACACCATCAATGGTTTCTCGATGTGAAGCCTGGATATCATACTGGATTGTCTGGTCCAGCCTGGATGATTACAGACCGCCATAACTGTGGTTATATATCTGAGCGTGGTTGTAGATCAGATATGTGATAAATTAAGAATTCTACCTATCTACATTGACTCTACCAACCCCAAACAACAAATTTGTCGAATTCTGATTGGTCAATAGCCAAAGCATACCAAACCTTATTACCCTTAAGATAAATTTGTGGAATTCTGATTGGTCAATAGCCAAAGTATACCAAACCAAGGTAGGCGAATTTGCCAGGGTGTACGAACCGTACACCCCGTCAAACCTGTCACGTGACACACTACACTAATTGTACGAATGACCTTGACCTTAGATGGAATACGGCTGCCAACGGCTGGTCGCTTCGAAATTTTAAAGTTGGCCTATACAATTATGAGTATGAACAGAGTAATAACATTGTTGCCATAATTTCTTATTTGATTGTGTCAATAAATATATCCAAAAATAAAATATTTCTGTATTTCACTTGTCGATTAAAAAAAAATGAAATTCGATCAGTTTTATCATAAACTAGCCATCTCGAGTTATCTCCCTTTATGACCGTTCAGGAAAAATCATGGCGAAAAGTTTTGTGTCTCATTCTGCCGATGATTGAATGTTGTTGTTTAAAGATAGCTTAATAAAAATATCTTTATCTGTAATAAATTGGGCACACGGTGTTTTGAAAGGATGTACGGGACTGTAAGACTCTTGTAAATTCCGTATTACAGTCCCGTACACCCTTTCAAAAACACCGTGTAACCAATAATGTAACGTACAGAGACTAGCAGCTCGAACGTGTTCCAGTAGCCCGGGTTAGATTTGATTCGTCCTGATGAGACGACCTGGGTCCTCACTGTAACATAGAGAAAGCATTAAACAGATTATCGATCTGCCTTCTGATCCTTCTGATGTGATGAGATCACAGAGAACCTGTAAGATATTCTAGATAAATTTACGACCTATGACATTATTTACATTCATGCAAAACGGCCAGATATCTTGTGAGAGGATGTTCATGTAGCTTGAAATACAGTTTATTGAGGTCGGGTGAGATCATGTAGCTTCAAATACAGTTTATTGAGGTCGGGTGAGATCATGTAGCTTGAAATACATTTTATTGAGGTCGGGTGAGATCATGTAGCTTCAAATACATTTTATTGAGGTCGGGTGAGATCATGTAGCTTGAAATACATTTTATGGAGGTCGGGTGAGATCATGGAGCTTGAAATACATTTTATTGAGGTCGGGTGAGATCATGTAGCTTGAAATACATTTTATTAAGGTCGGGTGAGATCATGTAGCTTGAAATACATTTTATTGAGGTCGGGTGAGATTATGTAGCTTGAAATACATTTTATTAAGGTCGGGTGAGATCATGTAGCTTGAAGTACAGTTTATTGAGGTCTACATGTAGCTTGATGTGCGGTTTACTAAGGTTACGTTGAAATTTGTAGAGGGACGTAGGCCTACCATAGGTTGTGTGAGGTCATGTAGTTAGATGCCCGGTTTACTGAGGTCGTGTTAAATCTTGTAGAGGGACATAAACCTACCATAGGTTGTGCGAGATCATGTAGAAATAATGTAAGACTTACAAATGTCCTGTGAGAGGATGTAGAACTTGTCATCGGGGAAGATGTAGAAGAAGATGCCGGTAGTATCATATGAATCGCAGCCTCCCTGGTTCACCCGTGCTGCCAGAAACACGCCCTTGGTACCGTTAACTGGACTGAGGCGGACGCTGGCCTTGACGGATACATTCGTCCTGAAACATCCAGTTCACTTGTATTAAATCAGTTACAACATTAACATCCACACTAACATCACAGGCAGCCATTGAATCAGACAAAACATAGACAAGTGTCAAGGTATGCTATCTACGTGCTCCCATCATTGTATGTTGTCTAAGTGCTCCCATCATCGTATGTTGTCTACGTGCTCCCATCATCGTATGCTGTCTTGGTGCTCCTATCATCGTATGTTGTCTAGGTGCTCCCATCATCGTATGCTGTCTAGGTGCTCCCATCATCGTATGTTGTCTTGGTGCTCCCATCATCGTATGCTGTCTAGGTGCTCCCATCATCGTATGCTGTCTATGGTGCTCCCATCATCGTATGCTGTCTAGGTGCTCCCATCATCGTATGTTGTCTTGGTGCTCCCATCATCGGCTGTCTAGGTGCTCCCATCATCGTATGCTGTCTTGTTGCTCCCATCATCGTATGCTGTCTAGGTGCTCCCATCATCGTATGCTGTCTAGGTGCTCCCATCATCGTATGTTGTCTTGGTGCTCCCATCATCGCATGCTGTCTTGGTGCTCCCATCATCGTATGCTGTCTTGGTGCTCCCATCATCGTATGTTGTCTTGGTGCTCCCATCATCGTATGCTGTCTTGGTGCTCCCATCATCGTATGCTGTCTTGGTGCTCCCATCATCGTATGCTGTCTTGGTGCTCCCATCATCGTATGCTGTCTTGGTGCTCCCATCATCGTATGCTGTCTTGGTGCTCCCATCATCGTATGCTGTCTTGGTGCTCCCATCATCGTATGCTGTCTTGGTGCTCCCATCATCGTATGCTGTCTAGGTGCTCCCATCATCGTATGCTGTCTAGGTGCTCCCATCATCGTATGCTGTCTTGGTGCTCCCATCATCGTATGCTGTATCGGTGCTGTCATCATCGTATGTTGTCTTGGTGTTTCCGCCACAGTATGTCTGAGAGACTATGTACTCAAGGGATCTACAACCACTATGTTCAGTCTCTTACCAACTATAATCACCAATAACAGCGAAGCTCCTGTTCAGCATCTTTTCAGCAAGGTTGTGACACCACATCAAGGGAGGCTGTAGAACCATCTGACGGACGAACTTGTTGTTGTCCTCCGCCATGATCTCAAAGGAGCCGGTTTGCTGGGCAAGATTAAAAGGCTCCATGGAAACTTCGTATCCTTCTACAAAAAATACAATCACAAGGCGAGAATATTTTAAGAGAAAAATAGGCAGATAAGATTCAGGAAATGGACTTTCATATTAAAGCAAGAGTATTTTTGTTGTACGCCATACAAATACATCTACTCACAAGGACATTATCACTAGATATATTAGTTACTTAACTGCTCATAGATAACTAGGGCCTAACCACTATACTACATCACCGCTCCTAGACATCCTGGGTCTAATCACTATGCTACATCACCGCTCCTAGACATCCTGGGTCTAATCACTATGCTACATCACCGCTCCTAGACATCCCAGGGTCTAATCACTAGACTACATCACTGCTCCTAGACATCCTGGGTCTAATCACTAGATTACATCACTGCTCCTAGACATCCTGGGTCTAATAACTAGATTACATCACTGCTCCTAGACATCCTGGGTCTAATCACTAGATTACATCACCGCTCCTAGACATCCTGGGTCTAATCACTAGATTACATCACTGCTCCTAGACATCCCGGGTCTAATCACTACGCTACATCACTGCTCCTAGACATCCTGGGTCTAATCACTACGCTACATCACTGCTCCTAGACATCCTGGGTCTAATCACTACGCTACATCACTGCTCCTAGACATCCCAGGGTCTAATCACTAGACTACATCACTGCTCCTAGACATCCCAGGGTCTAATCACTAGACTACATCACTGCTCCTACACATCCCTAGACATCCTGGGTCTAATCACTAGATTACATCACTGCTCCTAGACATCCTGGGTCTAATCACTAGATTACATCACTGCTCCTAGACATCCTGGGTCTAATCACTAGATTACATCACTGCTCCTAGACATCCTAGGTCTAATAACTAGACTACATCACTGCTCCTACATCACCAGCTCCTAGACATCCCAGGTCTAATCACTAGATTACATCACTGCTCCTAGACATCCTGGGTCTAGACTATCACTGCTCCTAGATCCTGCTACATCACTGCTCCTAGACATCCTGGGTCTAATCACTAGCTACATCACTGCTCCTAGACATCCTGGGTCTAATAACTAGATTACATCACTGCTCCTAGACATCCCGGGTCTAATAACTACATCACACTGCTCCTAGACATCCTGGGTCTAATCACTACACATCACTGCTCCTAGACATCCCGGGTCTAATCACTAGATTACATCACTGCTCCTAGACATCCCGGGTCTAATCACTAGACTACATCACTGCTCCTAGACATCCTGGGTCTAATCACTAGATTACATCACTGCTCCTAGACATCCCGGGTCTAATTACTAGACTACATCACTGCTCCTAGACATCCTGGGTCTAATAACTAGATTACATCACTGCTCCTAGACATCCCGGGTCTAATAACTAGATTACATCACTGCTCCTAGACATCCCAGGTCTAATCACTAGACTACATCACTGCTCCTAGACATCCAGGGTCTAATCACTACGCTACATCACCGCTCCTAGACATCCTAGGTCTAATCACTAGACTTACATCACTGCTCCTAGACATCCCGGGTCTAATACTAGATTACATCACTGCTCCTAGACATCCTGGGTCTAATAACTAGATTACATCACTGCTCCTAGACATCCTGGGTCTAATAAATAGATTACATCACTGCTCCTAGACATCCTGGGTCTAATAAACTAGATTACATCACCGCTCCTAGACATCATGGGTTTAATAAATAGATTACATCACCGCTCCTAGACATCCTGGGTCTAATAAATAGATTACATCACCGCTCCTAGACATCCCGGGTCTAATAAATAGATTACATCACCGCTCCTAGACATCATGGGTCTAATAAATAGATTACATCACCGCTCCTAGACATCGTGGGTCTAATAAATAGATTACATCACCGCTCCTAGACATTTGGGGTCTAATCACTTCGCTACATCACAACCCTTGACATCCCGGGTCTAATCGGGTCTTATCACTACTCTACATCCCCACTCTTTTACATCCCAAGTCAAATGACTAGGATGCATCATTACTCCTTCAAATCCCGAGTTACATCACCTTCTTAGATAACCCGGGTCTAATCACCAGGTTGCTCCTACCAAATCTAGGTCTGTCTCACATCTAGGCTACATCATCGCCCCAGACAAGGTAATCAGGGTTGCCCTGTGTCATCCGTGACGCACCATCGAACTCATCCAGATACGGTAGAGGGAACCCCTTGGACTGTGGTGGAGGAGGGTAGCTGCCCTTGTTTCCAGTCGTCACGGTCGTCAACGTCCAAACTTCATCCACACCGACAGACAAAGTCACTTTACCACTGGTCACCTGTGAGAAATATGAACATTACCAAATAGTGAAGGTTTTACCAAATGGTGAGCGTATCCTGTTCAAGCTAAATGTAATTCTATTGGAGACAAAATGTGTTCGGGTATTAAATACATGCTGGACCAGTATAGATCCGAATAGAATTGTGTTCTACGGAACAATGGTTTCTGGGGGGACACCAGAAATAGGTTTCACTCATTGTACCCATTTGGGAATCGAATCAAGGTGTTCGGCATGACGTACAAACGCTTTAAGCCCTAGGCTATCCCACGGCCCCACAGTCTATAAGTAGTGGTCCTATTATAGAAACTATCGTAGAATAGTTTGGAGGATAGAGACAAAGAAGCAAACGGTATCGGCAATAAAGCACCTTCAGGGGTTGACGTTTCTGAAAGATGACATCATCGACTCCGGGTGCAAACTCAAGCTTGGTGTACCACACCTGCAACTCTGTAATGCTCGCCTAAAATAGAGAAAAGAGAATCGTCTCGATCAAGTTCATATTTCCATATGCTCACCAACCAATGGAAATTGCAACTTTATCAAGTCACTCAATGCGATAAACAACACAATATGTAACTACGCGCAGTGTTCGAAATTAACGTCGGTCCTTAGGCCCGAAGCCGACTGAAAACCACACGGACGCACATATTTTGTTTTCCGCAGGTCCTTATAGCCTTCTTTGCTGGGAATTACTTATATTGTAGCTAATATATAGGGCCTACACATTCTGATCAGGGCCCACAACTTTTTATAGTTCTGAGGCCTTAGGGCCTGCAGCTTTCCAGGGTTAGGGGCAAACACTGACTACGTGTATGGGTGGAGAGGTGCTCACAGCCACCTGAATGGCGTGACACAGATGCTCTATATTCATCGTCATACTTACGAAGCTTCCTTCAAGCTTGAGGATGATTTCAGATGGAGTTACGTTGTATGGTTTCAGTGGAGGCCGAACACATACAGAGTGGTCGTGACTCTAGAAGTGAATTTACAACATAATCAAAGTATGAAACAGACAATGGTATAACAACATGCAAAGCTCTCTACTCCATTCTTAAATGTGTGAAACTGCATCTTTATGAATATGATGGCAACACGAGGGGGACATGGGTTTATGTACCCTCTGTGTTTGTTTATGTTCACTGAGACCAAAGGTCGATGGAAACATAAACAAACATAGAGGGTACATCAACCCATGGGCCCCGAGGGACCAGTGAACAACGTATTTATCTTACCGAACATCTCAATGTTAATTTTGAACTGTTTGAAGCACGGGTATTGGATCATAATAAGGAGTACGCGAAGTACCAAACGAATTCCCACAGTAGGGCATTACCAACAGGTAACATAGAAAATGTTACTCGCTTGTAAAGGGGTACATTGATTGGCTCAGCCAATCAGAAAACGACATTTATGTTTGAGGTAAGATAAGGATTTTTGTTATGTAAGCTCTTACTTCATCTCCAATAAAACAACAAATACGTCGACCAAATCGGAAACTAAACAGACACTTTAGCAATAATGAGGTTTATTTAAAATACGTTTGCCATTATTGCATGTAATTCATGGTCAACAAAAATGGTCACGCTAAAATTCCTGTAATATCTATTTGACACATGTGATTTCCGCTGTCAGCTATATTGCGACTGGTTGCAGTAACTGGCGGTATGGAGATAATGACAGGTAATCTGAACTTGACCACACGGTCCAAGTTAATCATTAATTACGATCAGATGCTGGATACCCATTCTGATTCAGTACCCAAATGGGTGGACTAGTTCAGTTTAACTCAGCCATAACTCCAGTTTAAAAACAAAAAGTCAGCTTCTTGTGGGATGAAAGCACAAAATGATAAATGTTTCGGTGAGGTGAGGTGATGTGGGGCTTAACGTCACACTTAAGAATATTTCGATCCTATGACGACGTGCATGCGTGTGTATGTGTGGCTGCTTGTACTAGCCCAGACTTAAGCTGGTTTTATAGTACCAGCTTTACTGAGCACCATGCCGCAGTTAAGCATGAATACCCCACTCATTATACTGGCTCCGACCCGACCAGTCCTTGTTGTACCTACTAAAGCCGAGCGCCAGGCAGGGAACAACAAAGACCATATTTTAACGTCTTTTTGTATGACGCGGCTGGGGATCGAACCCGCGACCTTCCGTTCTCCTGACGGACGTTCTAACCACTACACAACGGAGGCGGTCCCTAAATGTTTCGGACGTGTACCACTTTGGGGAAACCCACGACCACAGGTATTGTGTTGACAACGTAGCAACAATATCGGAGCAAACCAGGTTGCGAAACCACGATCCTGGAAAGCCTATTCCTTATTGTACTTTGGCTAGTTACCATAGTCTCAATGACGATAGTGTGGTGCTTCTTGTCCAGACTGATGAAACCGACGTAGCTTCCGCCAGATTGCAAACGGCCGACACCTTGGTCATGGCTAAGGTAGTACCAGCCTACCTCCGTGAACTGTGTGGTGTGAGCTGAAGTGGAGAGAGAGAGAGAGAGAGAGAGAGAGAGAGAGAGAGAGAGAGAGAGAGAGAGAGAGAGAGCGAGAGAGTGAGTGAGTGAGAGAGAGTCAATGTACAGATATATCGTGCATAGAGATTATTACACGTGTGTAGAATAACTTTATTAACGGACCATCAGTCTTTTTTTCTATTTCACCTACATTTAACCTGAACAATCAACATACACACACAAGTTCAATTACAAGTGATTTACAGTACTCTACAGAAGCCAGTTACCAGTGAGTGAGTGAGTGAGTGAGTTAAAATTTTACATCGCATCGGCAATATTACAGCCATATAGCGATCATTTTAAAATATCTGTCGACAAAGGACAGTAAAACCAACTAGACTATCTTTAAAACTAGTAATGAAATCTAAAATACTTTAACTATAGAGGGCGATACAATATATAGACAGGCTATAGATCGCCAACATCTGAAGGTAGATCACCATACTAGGAACCATGGGGACTTACAGTACCTTTGCTACCTGCATGGGCCCTAGCTGGATTTACATCATCCCTTCAGCCACTGGCAATTGTAGTCAAATCTAGCCATAATTTAAAATTACAAAAACACTACGTTTAAAAATATGGTAAGTATAAATTTATCTTGAATGCTTTGGGACTTATGTACCCCCACAGGAGGACAATAATTTTACAATACTTCAACCCCCTGTCAGTTACCAGTCATCCAGATAGGGCTCTCCACGACGTAGTTGCCGCTCCATGGCTCCGTCGCAGTCATCAGACCAGCACGGTACCACTTCAAGCCTTCGTAGTAGCTGGCGATCAGGTTCCAGGAGATTGTGCTTAAAATATGAAGTTCATAGGAGATATATCACAAATATGTAATTTGAGCTAATCTTCCAAGAAAGACAGATACCAACATGTTTTTCATTTTTTTAAATCAATTCTGTCAGATCCTTGTAAGAAGTATAAATTCATCAAGGATGTGGGACAAAGTATGTCAATCCGTAATTCCAGACCGCCATGAAGAACACTGCTACACTACGCTAAGGATAGTGTGAGGTTGCCATTGGAACTGCAATAGAGAGTACCAAACATACGCTTCACCTATCAGCATTACGCTTTGACCTAAGGTTTATGATAACAATTTGCTCTGAACACAGTCGCGAGTATGCTAAGGATAGTGTAAGGTTGTCATAAGAGTGAGTGAGTGAGTGAGTTTGTTTTACGCCGCTTTTAGCAATATTCCAGGAATATCATGGCGGAGGACACCAGAAATGGGCTTCACACGGTTGTCATTGGAACTGCAGTAGCCATGACCCTCAGTTTATGATCACAATTTGCTCTCAACAATTTGCTTCTTCTGCTTTACCTTGTCATCAATCCATTGACGTAGTTCAGGTTGAGAATCTGAAACAATGAATACAGTTCTACAAAGTTACCACATCATCTTTATTTCAACTGTTTGCATTAAACGTAACCCCTGGTTCTCGGGATCTCAAATTGTCCACCCTTGGTTGTTAGAAAATATCAAGTTCAATGGCAAGGCCTCCTAAGTGATCAGTCGTGGTAGTATAGACAATGGTAGCACAGGGACAGCTACCAATGTTTAAGGCCTTTCACAACAATTCTGCTCCATCGGACCCACCAAAAGAGGTCATTGTTTGATGCCATCCACATGTGTGCCGAGATTCCCATCGGTAGGGAAAAAGTATGGCTCCTATTAAATACGTCGTTTATGTCATCCACATAAGTTTATACTTTTTTGCAACATTTGAACATTTGAACATCTATGAATATGTATATTGGCAACCAAGTTGTGGAAGAAGCATTCGAATGTATTGGTTTGCGGTAGTCAAAGTCTATAGCTTAGCCTGTACTTCTGGAAAATGCCCAAAATAGCAACCTTCAATCAGACATAGGAAAAGTTGTCTATCTTGCTGAACATGAAGGGAAAACACGCTTACAACCTGCACAAAAACAAAGATTGCTCCATTCTGGACAACACAGATTACATAGGCGAACACGTCATTGGATATCTAGTGCCAATGGATGTACCATGCGAACAAAACTTCACAACAAAAGAGTTTCCAACTTGGAAGCAGGAACAGTACGGGAAGGATATGGTGGGCATCTAGCGGACTATGTGGACTGCCCAAACGAACATCTTTGGAAAACCTCACTACATCCGGATGTACAAGCCAGAGGATGCACTATACAAGTGTCAAAGAGAAATACTGCAATATTCAAAAGAGAAAATCCACTATTCGTTGCAAAATTCCACACAGACAATGGTCCAACCTCACAGAATCTCAATCCACTCTAGTTCTTGTAGATCATCCAGAGAAACTAATGATGTAGTTTGGCACACGTACATTAGAATGGTGGAATATCTGGTATACAAGTATCCACATGGACAAACAGCAATGGACAACTCGAATAAATATTTACGAGATAACAATACAATGGGTTATAGCAAACTGGTTTTCAAAACTACCCGATATTTTGCATAGACATTCTAACTTCGAACGAAAATATACTTTGTATGTTACCACTGTGATGTTACAGAAAGCCAAAGGAATAAACTTTGTATGTTACCACTGTGATGTTACACAAAGCCATAGGAATAAACTTTGTATGTTACCACTGCGATGTTACACAAAGACATAGGAATAAACTTTGTATGTTACCACTGTTACCACTGTTATGTTACACAATGTTACACAAAGCCATAGGAATAAACTTTGTATGTATGTGTACCACTGTTTGATGTTGTTACAGAAAGCCATAGGAATAAACTTTGTATGTTACCACTGCGATGTTATACAAAGACATAGGAATAAACTTTGTATATTACCACTGCGATGTTACACAAAGAAATAGGAATAAACTTTGTATGTTACCACTGCGATGTTACACAAGCCAATAGGAATAAACTTTGTATGTTACCACTGTGATGTTACACAAAGCCAATAGGAATAAACTTTGTATGTTACCACTGCGATGTTACACAAAGCCATAGGAATAAACTTTGTATGTTACCACTGTGATGTTACACAAAGCCAAAGGTCTCTTGAACCATTCTCTGCAGCATCAGGAAACTGTTAGAGACTCCCAACATACACCCAAAAATTGATGGATATCTTCCACTGACAGACCAAGAAGCGTGGCAGTGGAAAACGGAGAAAAGCAAACGTCTTGCGAGAGCTCTACCAAGATATGAAGATTGCTAGAAGTTCCAAAGTTTGTTGAAGATCAAAGGGTGTCCTTTTTGTCTTCCTGGGCTCAAAATGTTGAAAGCTGGAAGATGCATTCAAAAGTGAGCAGTGGAAGAGGGAAGTGGCTGATAAAGTAGTGAGGAAGTAACACAAGGATAGGTACGAAGAGCAAAAACAGGACCTAGAAAATTTTCTAAGAACAAACAAAAACATTTGTGTCCTCAAAAGACAATACAGCAATTGTCTGGAATCCTATTCATGTTCTACAGGCATGAAAAGTTACTAGAAAGTAACAGTAGCAAGAAATACTAGATGATGATATAGATACCTACTCCAACAAAATTTGATACAGGTACACTATCCCACCAAAAAATATTGCCAAAGGATACACGTAAAACCACAGATGTAGCAGAAGGAGAATTTATTGTGAGGCTCTATTGTTTGCAACAATACATGGGAAAACTAGTGCAGTATTCTTTTTATTGTGCTTAGTGAGTGAGTATTGTTTTACGCTGCTTTTAGTGATATTCCAGCAAAATCACGGCGGTTATTATGTTTAGACTAAAAAGGTGTGCATATATCGGATATAGAGATACCTATTTGTGGACACTTTGTGCAAATAGGAGAAGAGAGAATTGCTTTGGAAAATCTACAGTGGTGGAAGGCAGCACTCATTTGCAATCTTGCTGTGGTTCTGACTACTGAGAAAAAGACTCACTGCTATTGCGAACTAGGATGTACTACACTGGTATTTTGCCTATAGAAATATCCAGATATTGGAGATAAGCAACAATTAGTGCCCCACCTCTTAGGAAGGTATTTGTGAGAATGTCAAAATCTACTCCAGCAGTTCCAAAAAAGATAGTCCCCACACTATGGCTTGATAGTTTTTTACATCTTTTCACAAAGGTATAGATCGAACCGTATCTAGTTCGAGGGTTTAGTCCAACATTTCCATAAGAGTATTTTGTAGGTGTTGATGTCAATATATGAACACGAACAGAGAGGAACTAGAACTGTTGGCTACAGGTATCGTAAACAAGGGAACAATCTTGGAGTTCTGTTCTACGATTTGGCAAAGGAATGGATAGGTTGGAAATATAGCTTGTCTTTGTACACTGTTGGGTATATGTGGAACGTTTGTTGTGTTCACAGGATGGTTTGGCAGCATAGGACAAAACTATTATCCAAAAGGATAAAAGACATCATAGTGTTAGTCTGGAAAGGTTGCTCAAATTGCTTGTTGTCTATATCAAATCTAGAAGGATAAAACAATTCCAGTGTCTGTCTGTCTGTCGGCTTGTCTGTCTGTCTGTCTGTCTGTCTGTCTGTCTGTTGCTCAAAATGTTGTTCCCCTGAACACAAATATTCACCACATTTTAGTGTAACGAACAAAGTGGAGTTTATAACTGAAGTGACTGACTTTTGTAAAAAGGTTATCTCTTAATAAACGATGTTCCACTTGAATTGACTTGTTTTCATGGGTCACAATTGGGGTGAAAGGCTTTAACTATGGGTAGACGTCCCTGTGCCCCCTATTGTCTATACTACTGTCGTGGTTCACATAATTCCGTCCTTCGCAAATCTATTATGTTTACTGCTCTTCCCGTCGTGTTGCTGTTGAGCAGTTTCAACACCTCATCTCATTCAACTATTACAACCCACAACATTAACGTACCCTAGCCCAGCAGCCGGCGCCAGTGTCGTTGTTAAAGGTGCTATAGTCTTCAGATGACCACAACTGTTTGTTGGTCATACGAGCATCCAAAGGAGACACAGTACCTGGGTAGTGAGACCTGACAAGACAAAGTCAATGCGTGACACCTCAACAAGTTTTCAGCAAGTACGTCCAATATGTAGGCTAATATCCAGGGTAGCTCCCATATATAGAGTGAGTGAGTTGAGTTCAGGGCGCTTTTAAAGTATTCCAGTTATGGGAGGAAAGCCGATATCAGTTCCTGATATTTCTTGCTAAATCCAATATTCGCCCCGATAATAAATATTAGTTTGACAAGACTTTGACCAGGCTTCGGGGAGGGTATAGAAAATAGTTTGATACAGACAATAGATGCATGAGGAGAAACCAACCCTATGTAATCTATCGAATCAGCCAGATCCTTGTCCTTTAACATGTCCTTGACGAAGGCCCAACCGTTGTCGTCGGCTGCTACTATTCTGACGTTGCTCAGGTTGTTGCTGTCCAATGTCTTCCTCAGCGTCTTCAAGACAGGACACATACTTACAAGCAAGTGGGACCAGTGTATGGGAATACAGTAGGTTCTCTGTTCTCCTAATACCAGACATACATTGACTTACAATAGTAATTATGATAATCAGCAGCATCACTTACTTGAATTCCACGCTCTGAGAAAAATAACTCTTCAATGGCGGGGACAATATATATGTATTCCTGTCACAAAAAACTTTTTATTTCATGTCAGTAATGGGTTATAAGAATCTTTACTTGTGGTGTGAAATTCCAAGCATTTATAACTTTGAAATTAAAAAAGGTCTCCTTTTTACTATATTTTATGAATACAATTTTGGATTTTTTTCTGTAAAATATATATTTCAGATGTTAGTCTAGGGTAGCAGGTAAAAATACAACGTCCCCAAGTTGCTCGAGATGACATTCTCACAAGCAACAGAGGGCAACAGAGGGCATACAGTGACATGTTACAAAAGTCTTAAACCAAAAACAATGGACATAAAATGACATGTGAGGACCCTCTTACACCCAGCAGAATGGGCATATAGTGATGTATGAAAATACTATTATACACTGCAGAATGGGCAAACAGTGATTGTGAGAACATTCTTCTGCACAGACATCTGTGTGGCATCCTGCTTCAAACAACACAGATCTCCTTTGGCGGTGTGCAATGTTTGGGCTGCTTTCCTGATGTGTTTTTGGTTTCTAATAATAATAAGGGCATGATGATGTATGCCTCTCTGTGGTGGGCCTAGATAGGGGAATTATATTCCTTGAAACAAACGTGCATCACCCAGTTAGGGCTGACCCCCGAAGCTGGGTAACTACTGGGTTACAGACAGCCAAGAGGAAAGTTTTCATTCACTTCTGCAGCCCCGAAAATGAAAACAACCAAACTGGAGATGGGACATGCCCCAGGGGAAGGCACAGAACCCGGCCAAGAATATCTTGGTCAAACCACCTAAAAAACACACTACTGGAGTGTGCAAAAGCGACAGGATGGCCTGACAATCCATGGATGAACGGCAAGTCGCTAAATCTGCATTGGGACAATGCCATGCCAATGTATGCTTACCTGACTGAGCAAAATCTCTGAGGCCAACTCTATCGTCTTAAAATTCACAAGCACCGTGAGCCAGTTGAACCCACAACTGGTGCCCGTCAGGAGCCTTTGCATGAGCAGAATGCTCAAGTGGCAGCAGACCCAAAACTTCTGATGGATGTCCACGCTAACCTCTTTCCTCTTCCTGGTGAAAACTCTTAGGCCATAGAGGCAATTGGCCCCGAAATTTCTGATCCTCACTCCTCTTCATCCTCAGTTGCAGATCTTTCCAAATGTTCTGTTTGCATTTTGTGTAATTCTATTTATGAGGAAATGTGTGATTTACCTTTAGAGAAACGGAGGCCAAATTAACAACTAAATGTGTCTTTTCCCAAGAATGAAATTGACTTACTTAATGAAGCTATTTCTTTAAAACTTTCTGCGGACTGTTGGTTACATGACGTTAATTGATGTGTCTATGCTGCCACTCGAACTTCGGAGGAACTTCATGCGGTTTCCAAAGAAAATACATATAATGATAACAAAAGACCAAAGAAAAAAGCGTTTCTAGTAAAACTTAATGAAACTAGAAGAAACATTTCCTGGATAGAGATGTGCCTTAAAATAAGATCATCAAGGAACCCAATGTCTAAAAGGCAAAAGTCAATTTGGAGAAAATTAAAATTACAATATAAGACAACAAAAGAAAAGGTACTTCTCCAAATTGTCGATTCCCTTAATGCAAAATTAAAGGTTTGGACTGTAAGAAAGAAAAATTCGGGAAAGAAGAACAAATTTGTAAAACAAAATAAAAAAATTCGAAATAGCAGCCAACTCAAAAAAAAGGGTGATGAGGGACATGATAAAGGCCTCCCATAGATGCCAATGAAAGGTTCTGGAACAGTTGTGGTCTGTACCCGGCGACTGTAACCTTGAGGCACCATGGGTCCGTGATTTACGATCATGCAATGCATGAGAAAAAACTGGGTCCTTTGTCTAAAACATCTTGCCAGATTGCCTGAAAAGTGTTATCGAAAAGTCCAAATCTAATACAGCTCCAGGGACTGATGGCATTCGAAGCCGGTACTGGAAACTGTTCCCCTGTGTCCAAACACCATTACTTTACTGTTTTAATTCTCTCATGGACACAGGTGATGTTCCTACATGGTTCTGCAAAGGTTGCACAATACTCCTTCCCAAAAAAGGAGACTTGACTGATCCCAAAGACATCTGCCCTATCAAATGTTTGAATACTCAATATAAAATATTCACAGGGTGTTGGACAAACCTCGTGTCATCTTAATGCTCTTCTAATGATATAATTTACAGAGAGCACACGTGGGCAAGGAAGGGATGTTGGGGTGCAAAGAGGTTAAAACATATCACCGCAACCTCTCCATGTGCTGGACTGACTATAAAAAAACATACGACTTTGTCCCTCATGAATGGATTCTGAAGTCTCTTCATTGTTTTGACCTCCCTGGGCGGCTGCTTGATTTACCTCAAGTCTTTAATGAGTTGCTGGTCGACTCGGCTTGAAATGTACTCACAAGAGCAGGTGCAGACTTCGGAATCTATTCCAATCAGAAGGGAAATTTCCCAGGGGCACTCCACCAGTCCATTGCTTTTTTGTTTGTCTTTAAATCCTTTGAGCTTTCTGCTCAATAGAGAGGAGGGTTACCATCCCGAACCTCCTCAGCATAGATCCCCAACACCGCTTACTCATCTCTTTTACATGGATGACATCGAGGTCCTTGCCAAAGGTGATACCAATTTGAAAGAATTCCTTTGGCGTAGTTGATTGGCAAAACAAGACATCCAGTGTCTTGACCGCCAAACCAGAAGGATCATGTCTGATAACAGAGCCCACCACCCTCGTTCCTCACTTAATCGTTTATATATGCCAATCAATTCGGGAAGTCGGGGTTTGATTAATGTGGAGGCTCTTTATGATGGAAGTTTATTATGTACTTTTGCACATATTTATTTATCGGATGATCCTCTGGTGATGCATGTCGAAACTCATGATTAAAGCAAGGAATTCCACAGCTATTTTAAGTGTGCCAAGGTTGTTGAACAGAATCTGAAATTTGAATTTGATTTTGTTGATGGCAATGTACTGCTGGACGGTACAGCGATCGGAGTAAACCAGGTGAAATTATTCACCAAGTCTGCCCAGAGTCGATCATTTGTGGAGAAACTTTCTGAGAAACCATTGCATCGTGTGTACATGCAGTGTGTGGAACAGAACAGTAATCCAACCGACGCTTTTGCCTGGATGAAGTCGTCTGGTCTTAAATGTGAAACTGGGGGCTTTTTTTTTTCCGAGGTCCATCCATGGTGCGACCCTGAACATGTCCAGGGCGTCATCGAAAATGATGCTTTTAAGCTTCTTTGGAATAGGCCTATGTACAGGCTCAGAAGAATTCCAGCCAGCAAACCTGATATTGTCCTTTTAGATAAAGCCCATGAATTTATTTATATCATCGATTTTTCTGTCCCTTTTCACGGCAATGTGATTGGCAAGATTCAGGAAAAGCATTCTAAATATGCAGACCTCGCTTTTGAAATGTCTCACTTTCATCCCAAGTACACTGTCGTCAGACTCCCTATTGTTCTTGGTGCCCTTGGTTTGGTACCTCCTGATCTCTTGGTGCAGATCAGGAGAGTGCCTGGGTTCTCCACCGGGAGCACAGCCCTTCTGACGCTCTGGGTAATGCAAATGGGTGCAGTGTTGGGGAGTCTTCATATTCTCTGGAAAGTTCTTGGTGGGTTCGGCTAGGCAGCGTTTCCTGGGAGAAGTCCCATTCACTGTCTGGGCTGCGTGTAGAGGGGGTAAAGGCCCTGAGCTGATGATGAGCCTTACCAACCTGACTTCCAGGATCACCCAAACCCTCTCTGCTGCATTGTTCATCTGAATCTGTAAAACATATAATAATACAAGGTACATGCTCAAAGTGCTGACATGTTACAATTATATACAAATGTACAGGAATGGAAATACAGTTAGTTGTAATGAGTGGAAATCAGGTGGGTCTTCAGCAAGCGTTTGAATGGGGTAAAGTCAACTGCTGATTTTATGATCAAAGGGATCGAGTTCCACATTAGAGGTGCACAACAAGCAAAGGATTTCCTTCCAAATATTTCCAGTTTATAGAGAGGGGCAGAGAGCAAGTTCTGATTTTGAGAGCGGAGCTGTCTTTCTAGGATGTAAGGGATAAAGAGCTCCTGTAGGTATTCTGGACTTGCGGCATGGAGACATTGGTAAACAAAACACAACAATATATATTCAGTTCTTGATTTGACAGGAAGCCAGTACAGGTCTTATAGGTGTGATATGAGAATGTTTAGAAGTTCTGCTGATGATTCTGGCGGCTGTGTTTTGGACGTGCAGCATCTTTGAGAGGAGCTTTTGTGAGATACCAAAAAGGAGACTATTGCAGTAATCGAGTCTTGAGATAACAAATCCTGAACAAGACTGATGAGATGGCGTATTCTGCCAATGGCTCTCAAATGTAAGAAGCATACTCTGCACAGTTGATAGACATGAGCGTCCATGGTCAGCTGTGAGTCCAGCATTACCCCGAGATCTTTAACTGAAACGACTGCTTGTATCTCACAGAGTCAGCTACCAAGATTGTTTCTCGGAGTACCAGTCTCACACTGCCATCACTCCTATGATTCCACTTACTTTGATGTATGTGACATTGTACGCTTTTTCGTTCCAGATGCCAATAAAGTCTATGGTAAGGTTGTGGTACGTCTTGGCACCTTGGATCCACTTCAGGATGTACGTTGCCGTCTGTTGTGGTATTACATACGGGTCCTGCGGGGTGGTTGCTATCCAGCCGGGGAATCCCCACGGCAGACCATACAGCTTGATGTCCGGGTTCCGCTGAAATACAAGAAGGTCTACACTGCAACCTTGTCGAGGATGTTCAGACAGGAAACATTTCAAAGATGAAACATGTAGAATTTGATGAGAAGCAATTTACTACAACTTATATGAAACCCCCATAGAATAGCAATATCATGATGACTTGTGACAGCACACTCTCTGAAATTCTCCATGATATGGTTCTGTGCTGTAATTCTATGGCCATAGAAGGGGTTGACAACTTTCAGCGTTACTTCATATGCTCCAGTAGGTTCTCTACTGTGTAATAAGTGGTACCTTCTTTGCTTCCCCCATAAGCCACCATTCATATCCTCTGTGGTAGTTCTCCTCCCAGCTGTTGTGCATGTGGGACGCCTCGGATCCATCTGGATTCACAACATACTCATCGTTATCATCACCCCGTCGAACATTAAATAGTTCTTGTAGTAGATGGGCAAGAGGGTAGTCTAGTGGTTAAAGCGTCTATAAGCTGAAGAACAGGGTTCGATTCCCCACGTGGGTATAATGTATATGATGCCCATTTGTTGTGTCCCCCGCCGTTGAATATTGCTAAAGCGGCGTAAAACCATACTCAATCACTCACTCACTCTGGCAGTGGATGTAGGCAAGGACAGATATCGGTTCACAAGGAGGTAGTAAGGCATTACGTTTTAGTATCTATCCTCTAACATTATCAGTTACAGCTTAAGGATCATCAAACTTTGTAAACAATTTCTGTCATTTCTATATAGACCGGATAAAGAACTCGTAGTCCCTTTAATCTACCCTGGCTGTAAATATGTAAGTGTGAGTTATACCAGTGCTTTGTGCATCTCCGCCAATCTCGACCTTCAGAATCTGCAGACTGGCTCCGAAGTTGGGCTGTAACAAGTAAGTTATTTCCTTTTAAACCATTTGACTGACATTGCTAGTAATGTACTGACACACAGCATCTAGGACCACTTGACTAGTAGTACCACTTGACTGACATTGCTAGTAATACAATGATACTAAGCCTCTAGTACCACTTGACTGATAGCGCTGGTAATACAATGATACTAAGCCTCTAGTACCACTTGACTGATAGCGCTAGTAATACAATGATACTAAGCCTCTAGTACCACTTGACTGATAGCGCTGGTAATACAATGATACTAGGCCTCTAGTACCACTTGACGGACAGCGCTAGTAATACAATGATACTAAGCCTCTAGTACCACTTGACTGATAGCGCTGGTAATACAATGATACTAAGCCTCTAGTACCACTTGACTGATAGCGCTGGTAATACAATGATACTAAGCCTCTAGTACCACTTGACTGATAGCGCTGGTAATACAATGATACTAAGCCTCTAGTACCACTTGACCCACTTGACTGATAGCGGTAATACAATGATACTGGTAATACAATGATACTAAGCCTCTAGTACCACTTGACTGATAGCGCTAGTAATACAATGATACTAAGCCTCTAGTACCACTTGACTGATAGCGCTAGTAATACAATGATACTAAGCCTCTAGTACCACTTGACTGATAGTACCACTTGTTAAGTTAATACTATGATACTAAGTGCAGCTTTTGGGGCGGGCTTGGTGCAAGTATGTTATATTATTAATTTCTATCTTCGGTCTATTTCTAACTAGGCACTTTTTCATTTTAAGCACCTTGAGATGCATTTTGACTTCGACGTAATTATTTACCTGTTAATAGCCTGGACGCTACGTACTAAAGCTCCATTGGACCAAACATACCACCACCCTCCATGACAAACCCAAACTGGCCAAGCCTGAATCCGCCCCCATCAGAATCACCCTACCCTACATCGGTAAGACCTCCCATCATATCAGCAGACTACTAAAGCACCAAGCAGGCATCGACACCATCTTCATTGGCTCTGCAACACTCAGGACCATCCTCTAGGCCAATGGCCGCAACCTTCCCTCCAAAAAGCAGCCCCCCAAAGGAGTGATCTACAAGATTAATTGTGAATCCGGTGACTCCTATATTGGTGAAACCTCCGTCCCGTTGATATCCGCATTAAAGAACATAAAACCTCAACAGCAAAATCAGACAGCAAATCAGCCCTCTCCGATCACCAACAGAAATTCCCTACCCATCAAATCAAGTTTGACAAATTTGAAATCCTATCAACAAAGAATCAGGACTTCACAAAAAGAAAACTCTTGAAAGCCATCGACATCCGCCGCCACAAACCTTTGATCAACAGAGACCAAGGATACTACATACCATCAGCCTATGAAGAACTAATCAAACTATAGACTCTACAAAGCATCCAATCAGCTTGTTATTACAAAAAAATCCCCCTTGTTTATTGGCTTCGTTCCTAGTCTCATTTGTTGTTCTAAGTCTCCCACTGGCCTCTCATAATTATGTACCAGTTATTATTCAATTACATGTTGTTGTTAATGTTAATCTGCTGTTGTCAAAACATACTGTGTATATATACCCTATTGCATCTGGTAATATTGACTTTTAGCTTGATAACGATGTAAGAATCTACATCGAAACGTCACTCTATGCAATAAATAAGAAGTTGTCCATCATAAAGTTGTATGTTTCATTCTTGAGTCACCAACTTCTAGAATGCCCATCAAACAATTAATACCAATGTGTGATTACTCTACAATCAGGTAGCACTTATTCTTGGGATTTTAATCACCGACAAAAGTTTTATCAACACTCAAGTTTTAAAATTGAAACAATATCTGTTGACTTGTGACTCACCTTAAAGAGGAAGTCGAGAATCTGGTTCCGCTGTTCATCCGGGTAGTTGGCCAGCAGCTTTGACGTAGCCTGAAGGTGGAAGGTACGAGAGGTGAGTCGGAGGAATATACTGACTCGTGTCGTGGAGACCTGCACCATACGTTCACATGCTGTTTTGCAGGTGAACAATTTCCATTTGTTTATGACGGGTGTCATCGGTGGAGCAGGATACGCTCATCTGGTTTCATCACTATCACTACACGAAGGAACAGCATTGCCCACATTTACTTACGCTCGGAAATGAACGTAACGTTTATTATCTACGTATCGACTGGCTGTCAGATTAGCACACGTTAAAGGGGTTGTGGAAATAAACTAACAGTCAAATCTGTATTTACAAGTGTTTTATAGGTGTGTACATCTGGCTATCGTTTCCATGTGTTTTCTGGCATCTGTAACAAACATAAATGCTGTGAATGTGTGTGTCTGTGTGTACGTGTGCGCGCGTGTGTGTGTGTGTTAGAGGGAGAGAGAGGGGGAAAGGCTGACTGTTGTGTGAGAGGTTACTAATAAGCGATTCTGAACAGTGGATAATGCTTAACACTAGCGTTATGGCACTTATGCATTAGATTGGGTTAATTAAACTGGGTACAAACTGGTTTTCTAATATTATCTATGATCGTATATTTTTAAAATTTCCCCAATATCTAAATCCTTACAACATATATTTGCTTGCTATATTTTATTCTATATTTGAATAACCAGTTTCAATAGAAAGTGAATATAAAATGGTATTTTACAGCTTTAGACACTATATTTTAAAACTTGACACCAGTCATCATAATGCTGATAAAAGGGATTAATCATTATTGAGTGAGTGAGTTTAGTTTTAAGCCGCTTTTAGCAATATTCCAGCAGTATCACGGCGGGGGACACCAGAAATGGGCTTCACATAATCATTATTGGTTAAATTAAGAATGTGATAGCTTGTGGTTTCTGTGCAGGTGAAGTTTACAGTATTGAGCAGCATATTTACTTAAAGTACAGAAGAAAGATTACAGGTGATTCCAACAACTGTGCCGATACAACATGTATGCACGATGCAATAAGAAATGCATTTTCCAGAATGAAAATAAACAATTTGTTGTAATTTAAATCAGTGAGGTTTTATTTGCTCCTATGATCCAATGACACCAGACATCTCATTATTGCCAGTGCTTGTTTATATAGAAATAGATGCATTGTCATTGGATGTTTATGTCATGCCTTGTCATTAGATGTTCATGTGTTTCTCAGAGCCAAGGCACACGGACAGACCTTGGATACAGATGAAGTTCTCTAAATAATTATTCCGCATCCTCATTTGAGGACTGAAAATATGAGACCCACCTGCCATTGAGTCCAAGTTCTGACTTGTTATTTAAGAAAGAAATAGAGGTTGCAATCGCTGTCATAATCAAATGCTTAACTGATCTAGAAATGGAATGTGGGACATCAGATGCATAGACTATTTTGCAGCTCTCACTCTTGCCCTCAGTGTTAACTTTCCAGGGTAAGGCCAAGATAACATAAAATGTTTCACATCATTGTGTTGGACGTTTTTGCAGGGCCTGTTGTATGATGGTTATAAATTTGAAAATCAATTATTTTTTATATTGTTCTAAACCATTTGTGATAAATGTGGACTTGAAAATTGTTTTGAAATATACATAATATATTAACTAATTCAGAAATATTTTTCTTGAGCCAACATCTAGCTATCCAGAGGTGTTTCATTGATTGAGTCCAAGGTGAATTCAAGTTGAAGAATGTGTCGCTTCAGATACGCTAGATAATGCTATCTGTGGTAGTACAATGTCAGGCCAAAACGTTGTGACAACAGAATAATGTTGTATGCTCGTACTATCATTACGTTCCGACAACGTAAAATACAACGTTATCACAACGTACTTATAACAGTCCCATGACATTGTGACGACGTGAAAATGACGTATCACTACGTCAGGTCACAATGTTGTGACAACATAAATGGGAGTCCACAGAATAACGTTGTACGGTCGTAATATACTAAGCAGCAAAAGAAACGTCAGTTTGGAATTTTCCTTCGCAGAAACGGATAACTGTAAACTCATTTAATGTTTTGATTGTATATTTTTTACAACATATTCAACTTTACCTGAGCAAAGACATTCCTTCCCAAACTCAGAATGGAACCCAGGAAATGGTCTCAAAAACGCAACCTGATCTCGGAGATGGTACGGTGTTCTCCATGTTTTTCATGCTGCACGTGCTGTTCACAAGGACCAGCCCTATAAAACTGCACCCCCAAACCTGGTTGAAACATTCACATTACAACGTCAGCAGGATGCCGCGACTCACGACAGCTCAGAGGAACCACTAGGAAGACTTGAAGATGGCCACACTGCACAAGCCGTTGCCAATCACTTCCAGGTCAACGTTCGGGCCATCTACAGCAGCTGCAGCAACACCACAAATGATCGTCCCCGTACTGACAGACCAAGGGTGACCACAAGACGACAAGACTGCCACGTTGTGCGACAGCATGTACAGAATCCCTTCATGCAGGCAACCGAAACAGCACGCCAGACAGTGGGAACACACGGAAGACCAATCAGTAATGATACAGTACGCCGACGTCTTAACAGCGGGAACCTTCATTGCCGTAGGCCTTACGTGGACCTATCCTCACCCGTCGTCATCGGCGTGAACGTCTACAGTTTGCCCAACAACACCAAAACTGGCGATACAGGCAATGGAGAACTGTTCTGTTCACAGATGAGTGTCGGTACTGCGTATCAACTGCAGATGGCAGAACAAGAATATGGCGACGACGTGGCCAGCGTTACTCAGACCAATGTGTTATGGAAAGATACTCATGGGGAGGTGCAAGCATCATGGTATGGGGTGGAATAGGCCTGAACCAGAGAGTGGGTCCTGTGGTGTTCCAGAACCTTAGTCCAGGGAGAGGAGGCGGCATCACAGCGGTGCGCTACATCGACCAAGCTCTCAGACCCCACGTCATACCACATTTCGCACGTCACCGGAGCAACATTTTCCAGCACGATAACGACCAGACCCATACTGCCAGAGCTACACGGGACTTCCTACAGCAGAACGGTGTCAACATTATGCAGTGGCCAGCCCTTAGTCCTGTTTTAAGCCCAATTGAACATCTTTGGGATGAAATTCAGAGGAAACTGAATAATGTCATACCAAGGCCGAACACAGCCGATTTATTGCGCCAGGCCTTTCTCAGAGTGTGGTTCCAGGTGCCAATGGCCTTCATCAATCGATTGGTGCACTCCGTGCATAGACGCTGCGCTGCAGTTATTGCCGCTCGTGGTGGTCACTTAGATACTGAAGTCAAGAGTCTGAATGGACTGCAAACGTTCACGTAATGTATTGGCATTGTGCTGAGTTATTCATTGATGTGTGAAGATATTGTACACCAAAAACGTTTTTGATCCGCTTATTATGTCCATTTCTGTAATGATTTGATTACAGTGCCTATCTAATTTTGAATTTGTACTGACGTTTTTTTGCTGCTGAGTATATTATAACATTTCCACAACGAAAGTATAACGTTGTGACAGCGCTGTGGCAACGTGAAATTAGTTAGCTGGGGAAGTACGAGGGAAACCTATGACCATCCTTGGTACAAGAGTTAGTGAGTTAGCTAAGTTTAATGCTTCTTTATATGCAGGTCCGAGATACATACGAAGCACGGGAGTAGGCAGGGAAAGATGCTTTGTTCACTGAAGTTTCCTATCAGGTACTTACCCCTCCACCGCTCAGCCCGCCGATCCCGTCAAACCTCCGACCGAGACCTGATGAATCAGAAAATACGTACTCTTTAGCTTGACTACAGTACACAGCAACCACACTGAGTGTCAGCAATGCTGACAACCACCTCATGTTGGAGAGCTTGGTGTGTCCGACTGCCTCTCTCACAAATATCACTCAGGTATGTGCAAGTCATATGACACTGAAATCCTAGTGACCTGATTGGATATCTATGCAAAACATTCATTGTTGTAAATGTTACAAGGTCTGTGTGTGTATCTCCCCGTTATCGATATACAGCGATCTCAACCTGCACTTTTTTCCAGCTTATCTCAGTGTCGAAAATACCACGGCAGAAATTGACTGGAATGTGGCTATGGTTGACATGTACATTTACACAACTTGTGTATCTGAGAGGAATATGTAATCACAATGAAATTTCAATAAATGAATGGGCATACATCGACAGGTGAGAACACTCTTATCCGTAAACGAATGGACATACAGTGACATTGATCAGATGTACTATTATGATTGTTCCATATGTTATTGGCGATAACATTTAAACATTGTGTCCTGGGACGTACATCTTATTTTGCTTCATACAACACATGGTGGGGTGCAATGTTTGGGCTGCTTTCCTCATGTGCTACTTGGTTTTCAGAGTACCATCTCATACAACCATCACTTCTATGATTCCACTTACTTTGATGTATGTGTCATTGTACGGTTTTCGTTCCAGATGCCAATAAAGTCTATGGTAAGGTTGTGTCCTAGTTCCGCTTAAAAAAAGACAAAGTTAAACTTGCTAGATGTTCAGAAAGCTCCAGAAGCCAGCTGTTTCTAGCTTCATAAAACAGGAAATCAGAGGTATCTAGCTCTCAAAAGAAATGCTGAAAATGTGTCGTGAAATGACTCTGTAATTTGATTATTTCATTGTCAGATCAAAAAGATACGCAAGTTTATGCCCCCTTTTTTCCCGTTTGACCGTGAATTCGCAAGGTCATGTAGGTTTTCCTGTGTGAAATCGATACTATCTTTTTGGCCTCCACGGGGCGGTGTGGTAGCCTATTGATTAAAGCGTTCACTCGTCACACCGACGACCCGGGTTCGATTCCCCACATGAGTACAATGGATGAAGCCCATTCCTGGTGTCCTCCGCCGTGATACTGCTGGAATATTGCTAAAAGTGGCGTAAAACCTCACTCACTCACTCCACTAGGAGCCACCACTCATATCCTCAGTGGTGGTTCTCCTCCCAGCTGTTGTACGTGAGGGAGGACTGGGATTCATCTGGATGTAGACCGTCATCATCATGGCGATCATCGCTATGTCACCAGCAGGAAGTAGATGTTGCTCGCAATGTTTTATTGACAAGAAATTCATATTTTTGAATGTCCCGCATTGTATGAAATATACCCTGTTATCAGCAATACAGCATAGAATGCAGATACATTCCAAATGTTTCACATGACATTTGTTTTTGGTTTGGCCGCAATCAGCAATATTCCAGCTATATGGCGGCGGTCTGTAAGTAATCGAGTCTGGACCAGACAAACCAATGATCAATAGTATGAGCATCGATCTGTGCAACTGGGATACGATGACGTGTGTCAACCAGCTCAGCGAGCGTGATCACCTGATCACGCTAGTCGCCTCTTACGACAAGCATGGGTTGTTACCCGGATCTTTACGGGTCATATGACATTTGAACATTTTCTAGTGGGCTTATATGAAGCAAGTTTACCAGTTTACAGTTTGTCTGTATGAGACTGTAGTAAAGTTTGGAGTTTGTAAATATTATATTGCCATTGTACAGAATTCAAATCTGTGACATAATTTATGTGAATTTGAAGTTGTCACTATATGGTTGACACACACATACGCATCCACTTAATCATGGCGCAGTTTAAACTGACATGTCCATTTTGCTGCCAGGATCCGTAAAGTCTGGACCAGATAATCACTTATCTGTTTGAAAGCTGATCAAAGACCGTATTTTCAGGTCGCTCACAAGTTCGTGGTCATTGGGTTGAATGCGGACGTAAACGCTTCACACCTATCACTTATCTGTTTGTCTGATAAGACATCATTGATTGCGGCATAGAAAAACCAAACCTACAAACAGTGATAAGAGTCATTGAAGACACCCAGTGGTCTGAAGACACCCGATATATCTGACCTGGAAATACTTCAGTCTGAGGTCCGACGGTCAGAGAGCTTGACTACTGATCAGGAGGTTGTGTTTCCATTCCATTCTATTGATATTCAATTCTTGTCTCCTATTTTAGAACATGGGGCATTTGAATCCACACTTCTTCTGCTAATCAAGTCTACAGGTGTCAGTAAAACTAATACCCTCGATCAGGTCTTACTACAAAGATCGATCAGGACTTACTACAGAGATCGATCAGGACTTACTGCAAAGATCGATCAGGACTTACTACTAAAAATATATAGAGCCTCCTTAGAGGTTATCATAAAGAAGTGACGTCCAAAATGGAGGTCAATATCCGTGAAAGGGGTTTATTCTTCGATTTGTGTCAACACACTGCACCATTTGGAGGTATTTGTTCCGATTGGACACATCAGCCTGACAGTCAATGAACAGTACTTTTCTGATCTGCATTTAACACTAAGACAATCCCTCCGTCAACATCAAATTGGTCATGCATTGGGAGCAGATTATGTTCTACTGCCCATCTGGCACTTGCTGTAGGACTCAGGTTTAGGGTGCAAATGATACCAGTTGAACATCCACTCTGAACTGTTTCAACACACTTAACACACTGTTTTCTTATTACTTTTGCTAATGCAATTGACTTACCACTCGTTTGAAAGTTACCAAAATATACATCCAAATGCCAGAATACCCGGTCATGCCATGCCAGACACGGCCTTCAGTTCCGTTGAAGGTCAACGTGGAGATCTACATATGGTGATAACTCGTTGCTTCCTGTGGTTCGCAGGATAATGTGTGCAAAGCAAAAGTTCCTATCCGTTTAAACGTGTTTATTCGTAATATACGTTTTCAATTACAACTTACAACAATGGCGACGTTAAGACTTAATGCATCGTTGTGTTCATTATAAGCAGGCTGCCGAAGTCTGCCAGTCCCCAAGTGTCTGTACCTATGGCGACAAACCCATTGGTTGGAGTCGGGGTTCGTGTCTGCACCACTGGCTCCTCGTTCACAAAGGCGATCAAACCGTCACCCTGAAAAACAATGAATGGTACAACTCGCTTTAGTGTACAGCATTCAATCCAAGGAGGCTCACCAAAAGAACTTCGAGTCCAACGGGTTTTTTCAGTGCTATGGCCCTTTGTGTAGCCTGTATAACAACACATGAATACATTGATTCATGACTAAGAAGCACATTCGTAGTAATTTCTAAAACTAAAACACATTCTTGCCTTCTCAAAACATTCTTTGATGCAATGTATTTGAAATTACCTCAGAACCGGGCAGTATCGGGGCGGTGGGGTAGCCTAGTGGTTAAAGCGTTCGCTCGTCACGCCGATGACCCGGGTTCTATCCTCACATGGGTACAATGTGTGAAGCCCATTTCCGGTGTCCCCCGCCGTGATATTGCTGGAATATTGCTAAAAGCGGCGTAAAACCGTACTCACTCACTCACTCTTTGGCAGTATCAATACTGTGTGAGTCGCTTGTGCTCGTGCTGCACGGGAAATGATCAGAAATTCCCAAACATCTTCACAGTGCATGGTACAGGACCCTATGCCATTTATTGGGCCCTAAACGAGCAATTACCATGTTTTTAATACATGTCACCAAGTCAATTGGAAATATAGTGCATGGGCTTCTTTGTTGCTGTTGTATAATCGTTTTAATGTGAACATAATTACAGGTGATACAATGTAACACGGCCTTATACATACTGTTTATTGCGTTTGTACGGATTTAAAACATTATTAATAGTTCACTTCAAGAGGTTTTTTAATGAGTCGCCCTTGTCGAGGTGACCCGTGAAGATCCGGGGTAGAATCGGTCTTCAGCAACACATGCTTGCCACAAAAGGCGACTATGCTTGTCGTAAGAGGCGACTAACGGGATCAGGTGGTCGGGCTCGCTGACTTGGTTGATGCATGTCATCGGTTACCAATTGCGCAGATCGATGCTCATGCTGTTGATCACTGGATTGTCTGGCCCAGACTCGATTATTTACAGACCGCCGCCATATAGCTGGAATATTGCTGAGTGCGGCGTAAAACTACTCACACACTCACCTAGTCGAGGTCTGATCATTCAGATTCGGATACGGATACGGGTTCACAGCTAACAAGAATCGCGTAACATATTTTCGGGAAAATTTTGAAATATTGGTTCTACTGTCAAACTAGAAATAATTACGTTAATTCCACATGTGCTTAAATGGCAATCAACGGGTAGCTTGTATATTATGATTTCTGTTACTGTTCTTTCATACCTGAATTTTTATGAAGATTGACATATGGTGTTTTTGAGTTCTAAACACAATGCTTTACAATTCATACATTATGTACATGCTAGTAGACCCGTGAAGATCCGGGTTAGAATTGGTCTCCAGAAACCAATGCTTATCGCAAGAGGCGACCACCTAGATCAGGTGGTCAGACTAGCTGACATGGTTGATGCATGTTTCCCAATTTCGTAGAGCGATGCTTATGGTGTCAGTCACGGGATTGTGTGGCCCCGACACTATTAATTACAGACCGCCATCATATAGCTTTAAGACTGCTGGGTGCGGAGTTAAACAACAAACATGTGGTGCAACTGTGAGTAGGGGCAATGGGGTAGCCTAGTGGCTAAAGCGTTCACACTTACTCACTCACTCAACTGTGAGTATATATATGATCGTGGTTGTCAAGACCCGTGAAGATCCGGGTTAGAGTTGATCATCAGTAAACCATGGTTGTCGTAAGAGGCGACTAACGGGATCGGGTGGTCAGGCTTGCTAATTTAGTTGACACATGTCATCTTATCCCAGTTGCGTAGATCGATGCTCATGCTGTTGATCAGTGGATTGTCTGATCCAAAACTAAACTCACTCATTCATGGTTGTCACGACTGCACAACATCATGTAATGTCACATACCGTGATTAGTAGCTCCATTGTATGCCAGTAGCCCCCCGGGTTAGATTTGATTGGTCCTGATGACAAGACCTGGGTCCTCACTGTAACATAGGGAGAGCGATAAAC